GTTTTTTGTTTAATTTTTAAGGAATTCATTGACTTCCCTTGGGTATCTCTGGGAGTCACCTCCTAACCCAAGGCTAAGAACCTCTGCCTTAAAGCTTGATATTCTAGAAGTGTCATAACAAGGCTCCAATTTGTCTCTTCAGCTTTATTTTTCTCTATTGTAGCCTACTTTTCAGAAAAACTAGGCTGCTTGAGCTTGGTCTCTGCTGTTGCTTCTTTCTTCCAGAAATGTCTCTCTTCCCATCCTTCAATGTCTAAATTCTTCAAGATTTATCTTATATGCCACCTGTCCCATGAAGTCTTTTCTGATTAAATGAAGGACAGTGAATAAAGCACTTTACAGTGCATATGACATAAGTTTTTAATGGTTCTTTGATTTTCCTTACTTAGATGACTTTTTCTAATCTGAATGCCATTACCACCCATTTTAGTGCTTGTAAATCTGCTTTTTTCAGAGTTTAGTGCAGATAATGAGTTCCTTTCGGCTGGAAATGTTTCTTACTCATCTGATTATCTTCCATACAATGTCATGCACAAGATAGGTGCTTAGTAAATCCTTATTAATTGTAAAAATGAACAAAAGTTTTGGTCTTGTAGGATAACTTTTCCAGTAAGAAGTGGAAAAGGGAAGAAAAGGAAAGATGCAGATGGGGAAGATGAAGACACCGAAGAGGCAAAAACCTTAGTTGTTGAACCTCATGTTATTCCTAATAGGGGTCCTTATCCTTATAATCAACCTAAACGGTAATTTTACTACTTATTCTAATTATAATAATGAATTATTGTTTGACATTTCAAATAGGTTAGTATGTTTTAAAATTTTCTGATTCTTTTAAAACCCCAGGAAACTTCTATTTCTGAGCTCTCTTTCCTTTTATTCTGTTAGTTGGTTGAATAGCTCAGACACTTTAGGACGTTCTGTGGTCAGGATATTTCAAAAAGAAACATTTTCAAGTACTATGAGAAATAAATGTTAGAGGGCTACCTTCATTTGAGCACCGGGTTCTTATTTCACAACCCCCTGTTACATGTGGCAATAGCCGTCATGTACGTGTGCCTTAACTAATGAAGTGGCATTATTTTTGGTATTAGATTGGGAACTAAAACTGGCAGTCTGAATGAAGTCTGAGATGGGCTAAGTGTATTAAAAAATTACAGTAGTCTTTCCACAAGATTCGCTTCATTTTAGTTGTCTTTGTAGAGGTGAAGAGAGTCATTCAGAAGAGATTGAGAGAACAGGGGTAAATATAGAGCAGAACTTTAAACCTCTGATCATTGTAGTCTAGATTTTTACTAAATGTTACTTATCTGTGTTTTTAACCAACTTTTTATTTCCTCTTTTATTTGCAGTAATACAATTCAGTTCACTCATACACAGATAGAGGCCATTCGTGCTGGGATGCAGCCTGGGCTAACTATGGTAAGAGAATTATTGTTACACGTGTTCTTACATGGATTAAGAGTAGAAGTAAGCACCAGATTTTTAGTTTGTTCTCGATGAAACACAAAAACCCAGCTGAATTTAAGTATTTATAAGTAATTGTAACATCTTATACATAGAGATTTTGCTGTTCATTTCAGTGTTTATTACAACATGGACATGCCCATTTGTTTTGTATTACCTGTGGCCACTTTTGTGTTACAACAGCAAAGTTAAGTTCAGTCGTCCCTTGGTATCTGTAGGGGATTGGTTCCAGGATATGAAAATTCACAGATGCTCAAGTCCTGCAGTTGGCCTGGTAGAACCCACAGATGTGAAAAATCAGCCCTTCATTTCTGCGGGTTCCACATCCTGCAAATACTGTATTTTCAGTCCACAATTGGTTAAATCCATGGATACAGAACCTATGAATAGAGAGGGCCAACTATGTATTGAAAAAAATTCATGTATAAGTGGACCTATGCAATTCAAACCCATGTTGTTCAAGGATCAGCTGTACTTGCAACAGAGATTATACGGCCTGCAAAGCCTAAAGTGTTTACTGCCTTTACAGGAAAAGTCTGCTGATAACTTTTTTAGAAGCATGTTTAATTTCTTTTTTTTTTTTTTTTGTCTTTTTTCCGTGTCTGGCAACGGATCGCAACCCTCAGTGT